TTTTTTACATGATTTTGCCATCAATGGCCTTTGGCTTTGTAATGTTCTAGTTTTAAATCGTATAACATTTGATAATCGACTTACACTGTTACAGTATGAAGGTCTACACGGCCAGCTTGATTGTGCCTCGTGCCACGTGCTGCCATGTCTGGTATGCCTGATTTACTAGGGAAGCTTGTGTAGCCCATGTATGCATGGGTTATCAACTTACCCAGAGGTTCCAAGTTGGGGAAATCAAAGAAAGGGATCACTTGTGATAATGGTTCATCGCCGTTTTTTCGCGGTGCGCAAAAACAGGAAAAAAGTTGTGGCGGGCTGCGACATGTGTTTGTCGCGGCGCACCACCATTTTTTATAAAGTATACATGTAAAATAAAATGAAAATGCAAAATGAAAATGCAAAAAAACAAGTGTTTGACATTTGTGGCCTTTTATTGTTCGCTGGAATCAAAGTACATCAACAACCACGGCAAATTTAGTAATTTACTGATGTAAATTTTAAAATATGGCTGAAAAATGTTAAGACCGGGACTTTCTGGACTCTTAACGAGACACCGGGACGATCCCGGTGAGACCGGGACACTTGGGACGTCTGACTTACCCATGTGCTCATGTCGATTTAATTTTTATATGGTTGTGACATATGCACCTTTGTACCTTGATATGTGCAGAGGTAATTATGTGCTTACATCTTGTGCTTTGTAATACAAAACGGGGCATAAAATCACACAGTACAATCCTGAACGCTCTCTACCCCCTAATATCACACAGCTAAAACAATTACTTGATGAATAAATTAATTTAATTTGCTTGAAACTAACCGAGTTGTCCATTAAACATATCTTATCTACTATTTCGCCCATGCTGTACAATCAATGGTAACGTTATAGTGATCAAAGTTATCTAGGTGTCTTAATTACTATAGTGTAAGCATGACCGTGATAATGAAATGAAGATTGACACACGATTCTGAGCAAAACTACATGAGAATTTTTGAATTTTGACAATCCTTTGACGTTTGACATGAATTTTTTTTACTCTGATCAAAATCGAGTTTTTGGATACAATGTATATTCAATGTACATCGGAAACTTAGTGTTTAGAAACTTGTGAAATTAAAGCATTGTTATAAACTTCCTTTGGTAGCTTTTCTTTCGCATTATAATTACTAGTCATGTGTTCATTTAAGTGATAATGCTTCGGAAAGACTTGATCTTATAAATCACATTCAAACGATTTCTCTCTTGTATGAATTCTCATGATCGTAGATGAAGTCTGCTAATATATATATATATAATGCTATATAATATTAAATGGTTTATTACATAGTTCACTAATATATGACTTTTTGCCCAGCTGCATGTTTTTCTGTCTCTGGTCAGCTTGCTAATTACTTCAATCAGAGTGTTGCCATGCAGTATATAACAAAAATTAAGGTGGCGGAATACAGCTTTTTGTGAAACAGATGTAATCTTTGAGATGTATAAAGTATTGCTGAATAATTATACATGATCACAATGTGTTATTGATTTTATATTGTGGTGATATGTTTACCTAGCATGTGTTACCTAGTAAGAAGAGAAGTGCTTTCGAATGTTTGTTGATATTTTTAATTTACACAGCATAGTTATCTATAGGTGTTATTTCAGATGCGATGACTGAGAAAACAACACTATTAACCATGAAAGAACTTCAAATAAGTTTTTTATAAACAATTAACAAATATTTATGTACACATATCACAGCTAGAGGCTATTTACAATGTGAATTAAACCACCACCACTGAACAATTATGTTTAGAGTGTAAGGTCGTAGAGTGTAGTGTTTCGTTATTAAACTTCCTATGATGAAATTCTAACTCCTAGATCAATTAATAACAGTAATAATAAGATATACAGCCTATATATCCTCTACTTGGCATGACCTTGGGATAGGGTTTTGATAGTGTATTACTGTAAGACCAATATTATCTCCCTGCTCTTCCCACCCATTCAACAGATGGTTGCTTAGCAACGTCGTCATGGGAACATCACCTCTTCCTGCTCTTCGAGCTGAAGGATAGATGCTGGCTGATTCATTCCCTGCACGGTCAGCCTAGTTTCACATGTGGAGGCGGTTGCTGTAGTGACGGTGGTGCATAGAAAACCTTGACCGTTTGGTCCCATGCACAGTCTGCTATCTACAGTAAAGACACACTAGGTCAGCATATTTATCACTCTTCAGCTAAACAAGCACAAATTATAAAAACATTTCGTAACTTTGTCGTAATTAATCGATCAATAAATCAGACCGCAGCAAAACAAAAAACATCTACTTCACTTGTCACTAATACTACTACTCCACGAGAGGGAGCCACGTGACATCACAAGTATGCATCGCTAATGAACTTGACGGATTGTCGTGAGCAACGGAACGAGAGCAGCACACGTACCCGTCCGGGCGTGTGCAGGTCAAAGTCGAGTCCGTAGACAAACTCGGAGTGATGAGAGACAGTGTGCAGAGCGCTGCTGCTCAACCCGTAATCCCAGAGTCTGCAAGACAAACGGTTTGACATCGGTTGACAGTTGACAGTTGACAGTGGTTGATGGTTGACAGTTGGCGGTTGCTTGTGATGGCACGTGCGAGAGATGTGTCAATGGTACATCCGGCGAGCGTATAATGGCATCTTTTCCACGCCAGGTCGAATACAGTTTCCAACCGTAAGTTACTGTATACGCCATATTTTTCGCGTATAGATATTTTCGCGAATTCAGACTTGACGGACAATTTCGCGAGTGGGTAATTTCACGGTCAGTGAATTATGAATTATTTGGTATTATGCGGTATGAATTATTTGGTATTATGCGGTATGAATTATTCGCGTGTTGTTATTTTCGCGGTCCGGAACGCGTTCGCGAAATTCGCGAAAATTAAAGCACTGCGAAATATACAGCGTATACTGTAGTTCGGTAATTCCCTTCCCTGCCGGGGGAGAGGGGAGGGGGGCTCATTCCCAGGAAATACCATACTTGGGTAATCCGTGATTGGATCTTATAATAATCGTGGATGCCATATGCGGTGGCTCTAAACGCCTGGGGCCCATTGTCAGAAACATCATAGATAATTATGATCATCGAAATAGTTCTAAAATGGCATTAATTTCGTAATAATGTAATAATAGTCATTATATGTCAATTATAGTTCTAACCTTTCACACGACATTTCACTTGTGGCATCTTAGACTTGACTTAGTGTCTACTTACAATGTTTCTGACAACGCCCCGTCCCCGTACACAAATCACGAGCATGAGTTAGATGAAGGATGGCTGCCCTTACCTGATGGAGAAGTCATAGGAGCAGGATGCCAGTCTCTTTGCCTCATGTGGAGAAAACTGGAAAGAAAAAAGGAATGTAAAAACCATACAGTCAAACTGAAGGTACCCCCTACCTAATGTGTCTTTTATAGACGTGTCCATTCCATCGAAGTGGTTTCACAGTTTACATGGTTTACCTGCCACTAGAGGGAAGCACTCACAGTGTCTTATATCCCACCTCTTCAGTCTACCCGACCAAGGACTCATCACGAAAATAACCCATTTCGATTATCCATATTTATTTTAAATACAGTCATTACTATTATTTGAGTTCCTTCAATGTGGGAGAGGGGATTAATTTGAGGAAGTAGCTTCCTTAAAATAAGACCCAAAATGTACTTCAGAGAGCACCAAATAACAACAATTTCAGGGCCACTGGGAGCACATCGTAATTCGGTCTAATGCAAAGACTACCAATCCCTCTCAAAAACCAGAATACCCCCCACACACACCCACACACACACACGTATGCATCCATACACACACGTATGCACCCACACACACACACATACATGCACCCACACACACATGTACGCACGCACACACACAGGCACGCACGCACGCACCCACACACACGCACACACACACACATGCACGCACGCACGCAAACATACCCACACCCACCCATCCACCCATCCACACGCACGCACGCACGCACACACACACACCCCGCCGCAACGAGAAGTGATAGGATCACCTTCACTCTCCTCACGGCGTTCTCGTGGCCCGGAAGCTGCGCCAGCCATCGCCGCGGGTTACGGAGGTCCCACACGCGCACGACACCGTCGACAGCTCCCGTCGCCACGACGCTGCTGTCGTATTTGCACCAATCGCAGCAGAGCACCTCGGCATCGTGGGCGGGAATGACAATGCACGCCATGTGCGGACGCTTGATGTCCCAGACGCGCAGCGTTTGATCGCCTGCAAGCGTAACGACAGTCGCTAACTAGTACACTCGCACGGGTAACACTGACAGAGGCTGCCTGCCTCAGTAATGGTAATACCAGTGAAAAAAATACACGGGGGCTCGGGGCGATTTAGACCCCGAAATGCCAAAAAGAGCCCCGGAAATGCCAAAAAGAGCCCCCGCAAATTTGCATAGAGTTCAATGCAAACCAAATTTTAGAGTGCTAGTTTCATGCACGCGAGCTTGAAAAGTAGCCCCCGAAAAATTTATTTTATTTTTTTCCCTGGGTAATACTGCCTGCTTCAGTAACGGTAATGTGGCAAGCTATAGATAAAGTAACATTTTAGACCTTAGCAAAGGTAACACTGCCTGTCACAATAGTGGTAATGCTGCCTGTCTCAGTAAAGGTAATACTGCCTGTCTCAGTAAAGGTAATACTGCCTGCCTGAGTAATGGTAATGTGGCAGGCTATAGATAAAGTAATGTTTTAGGCCTTAGCAAAGGTAATGCTGCCTGCTTCAGTAGAGGTGGTACTGCCTGTCCCAATAGAGGTAATGCTGCCTGTCTCAGTAAAGGTAATGCTGCCAGTCTCAGTAAAGGTAATGCTGACTATAACTCGCCTAAATAAAGAAGTCTTCAGTGTGGATGAACATCACTTTAACGAAACTCAATCGCCAAGTATCACACGCACGCACGCACGCACGCACGCACACACACACGACTGTAGGATGGCTACCCAAAAGTCAAATCACGACAAGCCGTCTGTGTTAGCATCCACAGCTGGAAGCTGGGAGATGAATTCATGATCTAGACGATTAGCAACCTAGAGTCCTCACCTGAAGTTGAAGCAATGCATCCTGGTATACGAGGTGACCACACACCACTGTATACAATGTGATCGTGGCCAGTGAGGATGGATAGGGTTTGTCCACGATCCGGATCCCACAGCCTACAATCGCAGCGAGGAAAGAAAAACATGTTCTGGAGGGTATCTACTGAGACTGTGATCATAACTTCTGCAGATGGCTGCAAAAAAAGCGTCACGTTACATTTGACTACCCCTTATACCCATATACTCCACTAACTATGCGTGGATACATTCACCTAACTATATCTATCTTTTGAAAAATGCCACCTAGGTGCACAGATGTAAATTGTAAAAAATTGACTATTTGCATTTGGCTACTGAAAGATGTAAGCTCAGGTGTTCCAAGATAGAGTGCTAATGATGTCAGATTTCAAAGTGAAACTGTGATAGCCATAAACTATATTTGACTGCATACTTTGAATACTGCCACCTATTAGTAACACAAGTGCAAACACACTTACCTTAGAGTCATATCCCAGGAACCTGACACCACCATCTGCTCTGTTCTGACCTGGCTCCAGTGTACACTGTAAACCTCTTTCTTGTGACCATGCCAAATGCTGACTGGATTCTAAAATATAGAATATGTGATGAATATATTTGATTTTATGTTTATCAACCAATTTGTATGTTATTATACCAATAACAGAAAATTTGTCTGAATCTGTAACAAAGTCAATGAATAAGTGGCAATTTTCAATAAAACTCCAAACAACAGACATCTTCCAAAATATGCTCTGATCTATGAACTTTCTCATGAAACAAACTACGTTTCAATATCCTAAGAAAAACACACTATAATCAATAATTACAATAAAAATCAATGAAAACAATAACAACAAAAAACAATACCATACAAATACAAATGCACAAAACTATACAATACACTACAGAACAGCACACATGCAGCAAATACGGCAAGAACTTGGCAAAGCTAAATAGAATGTTGTTTTAACAGCATGAACCTGACCGCACTCGGCAATGCCGTGTTCCACGCCTGAATGCTCCCGTCTCCGCTCGCTGTCACCAGGATGTTGGCTTCGCGCTCTGACCACGTGACGTCATAGAGGCCGTCACTCCACGCATACGTGCTCCCCACGCGAGGGACATCAGCCTCAGTATCGATGACGTACAGCGCTCCACGACCTACGTCATAACATATACGATCAAAATAAACGATGTAGGTAGAAATCGACAGACACATATAACTATAATGACACCTGCACACAGTGGCATGCGTGCAGTAAGATTGTGTGTCATAAGAGACGTGTGTTGACGAGCACTTGAACCAGATCTACGTAAAATTTATTATTACTACTACTAGTACTAGTACTACTAGGCAAAATACTCCAGAGAGCCTTTAAATAATCTAGAGAGTACACTGTACAACATAAACATTAAAACGTTTGTAGTAAATCCGAAGTCGTAGTATTTATTTACGATCACATTATCATTTAAATCGCTAAGTGCCCGTGCATATAAGAAACGGCTACACGGGTAGAGATAGATGTGTTTCATTTTCTTATAATATCTACACGTACACGGTACAGTACACAACAGTCAACACATACTCACAGCACTAGCTCTAGTAACTATAGCCCGCGTACAACTGTACGCGGGCTATACTATATAGTTACTAGAGCTGAGAGGGTCTATGTCCCCCGGGGTACTGCCGGAACGTACCCTGGGTACGGTCCGGTATACCGGAACATACCCTGGTACTATCTAATATGCCGGACCGTACCTCACCTACTCCACTAACGAGTCTAGGGGGTCGCCTACGCCTACTCCCTAACCCTAATCCTCACCCTAACCATATCAAATAACCGGTAGTGACCAGGGTACGTTAGGTAATACCGGACCGTACCCAGTGTACGTTCCGGCAGTACTGTGAGGTGTATACCGTCACCTACGAGTCGAAGCCATTCTACGGGATTCTACAGGATTCACATACACTGATACAGGCTTCGACCCGGGATTCACGGCAAGCCAGGCAAGGCCACGGCTGCCAGCGTTTATAAGGACCGCCTGGGATCGACTCGGGGTGCTTCATTCTACCAGACGACCAGGAGAACCGACCGTGTAAGGATCCAACCCTTACAGTACCATGGGGGACATAGACCCTATGACTATGAGCGTTACTAGAGGCTATATATATAGAGCTATCCCACTCCCACTCCCAGCACCTGATATTCCAAAATTTTGAGCTGCCACACAAGCCAATCGTTTATCCGGGTACGGTGAAAACTGCACAGCGTACCCGTGATATCCCGCTGTTATGCACGACATAAGCGCATACACATAGATACCCTACAGTACATGTAAATCTACAACACGATAGAGCAGTGAGTGCATTAGCCATGTTTGTTGACCATGTCAACCATGTGGGGCGCCATACTTAGTGCTGTGCGCGCCATCTATGACTTATATAATAAATTACACAAACGCGGAAGATTGATTAGATTATCAGTAATTAGTAGATAATAATAGTATATAATTATATAATAGATATAATACACTCATACAAGATATATAATAATATCAATATTAGCTAGATCAGTAATATTTTCATTATTGGATTTTGGATACAGAAATGAAACATGAGAACGTCTTTGGATCAATCACAGTATTTCTGTTTATTTCGTTTAGGTCTGCCGTGTTATTATTAATTATTGGCCATAGATAGGTAAGAAATCACACATGACATGCGATCAGAGAACGATAGGAAAATGAGAATAAGAAACAAGCTTATACTATGTCAAATTATTATTAACATTATATTAGGTGCGTGAATGATGTCATGGAAATTAATTCTTAGTTACACTTACAACAACTTTGCTATTAAATCTGAGGGTGCGGGTTTATTGACTTTTGACTTTTTTTGACTTATTGACCCATTACTGGGGTCTGCGTCGGGTAGGACTAACATAATACCAGGAGTTAATAAAGACAAATTTGTCTTTATTAACTCCTGATAATACTAATAGACTTTAATAGTAGCTCCAAGAAACGGTATTGCTAGAGTTAGAATAGGCCTACCATATAGACAATAATTTACCTAATAGTAATAATATGTATAGACAATCCGTCGCACAGCCTGGTCGGGCTAACATAATAGTTAATACATTATTACATAGTACATGGCCTTACTATTGCTCATACTCATAGGGTCTATGACTATGTCCCCCAGGGTACTATCGGAGGGTACCTTGGGTAGAGTCCCTTTATATAGAGAGTTGCGACAACTCACAATTAGAAACCATATTGTTTCCAAATGGATCCACACCGCTGCCGCTCAAGTACAGCGCTGTATGGATACGCTGTACAATGGTCCATAGTAATTAATTAGACTAATCATGCTTCAATAAACTCAAAATTCACAGAGATTATACTTTATAGCTAAGACATGTGTCTATGTGTATCTAGATTTCTAGAAATCTAACTCAAATCGTTCGCGCCATATGATAGATTAATTGTACACTTTCTTATCGCCCATAGCCGTGCGTATATTAGCCTATGTGCGATACCGCGCGTAGATATTTGCTAATTAATTAAACCACTCGCGCTTCAATAAACTCAAGAATCACAGAGATCATAGATAACACATGTGTTTATATGTTTCTAGAAATGTAACTCAAATCATTTGCGCCATAGTTTAATTGTAGACTTTCTTACCGCCCATAGCCGTGCGTATATTCCTATGTGCGATACCGCTAGAGCTGTAACGATTTACCGAAATCGAATCGGATCGAGATTCTTTTCCCTCGATCCGATTCTCGATATTTTTCCACGTATTTTTTATTCCACTTTGACACCACTTTTTTCCTCCAATAGATGGCGGCACTACGCTATATACTGTGGAATGTTACCAGAGCATATAAATCACTGATTTATATGCTCTGGTGTTACTCACTAATGTTACTCAGCGACTGTGCAGTGTATATATATACTCTCTAGACTCTCTAGTCTATTCACCATTTAGTATTCATCGGCAATTTCTAATAATTTATTATTGCAAAATAATGAAAATATAAAAAATAGATAATATTTCAATATTTTGGGAATCGAATCGAAGGAATTGAATCGAGAGGCTAATATCGAGAACCGGATCGAATCGAGAGGCTTGTGTATCGTTACAGCCCTAGATACCGCCCTAGATACCGCGAGTAGATATTTGCTAATTAATTAAACCACTCGCGCTTCAATAAACTCAAGAATGATAGATAACACATGTGTTGATATGTATCTAGATTTCTAGAAATGTAACTCAAATCGTTCGCGCCATATGATAGTTTAATTGTACACTTTCTTACCGCCCATAGCCGTGCGTATATTAACCTGTGCGATACCGCGCGTAGATACTTGCTAATTAATTAAACCACTTGCGCTTCAATAAACTCAAGAATCACAGAGATCATAGATAACACGTGTGTTTATATGTATCTAGATTTCTAGAAATGGAACTCAAATCGTTCGCGCCATTTCTGTTTCTGTTGTAGTACGTTGCAGTATCCAAATTTGGCATCGAGGCAACGGGCTATAGCTAGCCATGAGGATAGCAATATGATAACATAGAAGCCATATGATAGTTTAATTGTACACTTTCTTACCGCCCATAGCCGTGCGTATATTCCTATGTGCGATACTGCGCGTAGATATTTGCTAATTAATTAAACCACTCGCGCTTCAATAAACTCAAGAATCACAGAGATCATAGATAACACATGTGTTTAAATATGTATCTAGATTTCTAGAAACGTAACTCAACTCGTTCACGCCATATGTTAGTTAGTACACTTTCCTACCGGCCATAGCCGCGTGTGTATAGCACTGTATGGATACGCGGTGAAATTATGGAAGATGCCAGCCAATAAAAAACAAAACAGTATTTAACCATCCCAGCAACATCTTCTAATAAAATATACAATTTGAAATATTTTGTATTAATATATGAGACATATATAGCAGTTTTTATAGACATTTTCGCATTATAGCTTCTAATAAACATAGCCTCCCGATGTCACAGACTAATATAATCATATATTTTGTCAAACAGCTATACATGTATTACATTCTATACACTCTTATACTACAGTACACTCACGAAAATATAAAATCATGCAGGCACACGTACACGCACATACTTGCACATCAGATATCATATACTGCACAACGCACGCTCACTATAAACAACCCAACGCACGCTCAAACACAAACAGACACAATCTCACATAGTATACACAAGCATACACATATACATGCACAAACCATGCAACCGGACATTCCGTTTTGCACTCTTTACACATATACAGGCACTAATGCACACTTATACACACACGCAAACATATGCCATCCAAAAAAACATTTCTTCATGCCGCACATCTACAAGTAATAGCAAAAATTCAGCGATGTAAGGGAACTGAAAAAAATCAAATACATGTAGTTCTGTAATGATGATAAATTTATATTCTCTCAATGCCTTGCTGAGATCAACCACGTACAAACTCAAGCATATAAGATAAACTCACTCATATAGGCGTTTGCTCATATCATAACATGTTTTTTAACTATAACATTGCTATAGTGTCATGCATTCACAACATATTTTAAAAATTGGATCTTTCATACATCGACATAGACTTTTACTTGCCCCGTGCAATCGGACAACTGTTAGTGTCGAGGGCTGGAATCCCTTTATATGATTATCTCTTCAATATAATTTTACTGTCTAAAATAGCTGGAATGTAATCTTGAACAGAACAAGAAACAAGAAAGTCCAAATGTGTTCATTAAAACAAAATTCATGACATTACCCCCCCCCCCAATACCACCATCACATGAAATTGGTGTGCCTCACATTGTTTGACATTCACAAAGCTAAATCACTTTAATTTCTTTGCTAGCTTTCGCATAGCCATACTTTTACTACCAAGTTCTCCACCCTTCTTCATTCTTGCTGCTTCTTTCTGCACCTCGACATTTCTTTTCCTGCAGTAGAAATGCAGACGCGCATTAATAAATCTCACAAGCAGTTTCTGTTTAACCTTGTGACATGCTGGCAGTTCAACTTCATCGGTGATTTCTATGGCCTTGTCAGGTCTTAGTAAATTAAGAGATTAAAATCAATGCACCTGTATTCTGTTTTTTAAAACAAAGAAATTTTTCACATTAGGCAAGGACATATATATATAGTAGACAATTGTGATGATTACAAGTACTACATTCTCTTTTTCGCCTTCACAGAGGATGAGCAAAAACTGTGTGTGGTCAGATTACTAAGCACTGGATTTGAAGATTTCATGAAACGGCTGTTGTTCCCTACCTAGATATGGCGTGCTTATTAAGCTGTAGCGTTATATATAGTGATACATGCATTATCAGGACTTGAACAACGTACACACGTGCAGCATGAATTAAAAATAATAAAAATTCAATAATTAATGGTTTGCACATAATCATCAGCATGTGCTCATTTGCAGAACCTACACTATATTTAGTTGAAGGACTATGATAATGCATGAAAGTCCTTCAACTAAATATAGTGTAGGTTCTGCAAATGAGCACATGCAATCAATATTAGCACTGTTGTTGTGCCCTTGGCAGTATGTCTGATATTGACTTTGGTCTTCAGCTATAATTAGACTGAAAAATGGCAAAAGTGCTATCGGATATTAAAAAATAGATTTCCATAACATGGGAATAATTTGAAAACATTGACAGGTCTAGCACGGGTAAATATAGACTACACAAATATTGAGGTTAAAATTAAATTACTGAGCTAATCTTATTAGATTTGTGGTTAAAATGGTAAAACTTTTAAATGTCTGGTAAAGTAAATTATGTTGAATATACAAATATTTAGGTAATTATTACTGAGGTCATTCTATTAGATCTTGGGTAAAAATAAGGAGGTACATCTTATATTTCCTGTTTCTACTGAGCTGCACACCTTCATTCATCATTGGACTTCCATTTCTATAGCGACTCTCTATTCACAGATGTTATAATGGTTTTCAGCAAACATTCCACGTGAAAAGACGAGTTATCGAATAAAAGGGTTTATTTCTGTTCTTCCATTATAATGCCGTGAATTTCATGCCGGTTGTTTTTTCTGTTCAGGTGACAAATACAATCCTTTTGTGTGGAAGATGGATTCTGAGGAGAACAGAAATCCGATTCTACACGTTGTTGTCGTGGGCTTCCATCACAAGCGAGGATGTCAGGTGACTCGCGGTGTGTCCCCACACATAGCTGTTAAGTGTAGTGAGCAGAAACTGCAACAAGGCGATTGTACAATTCCTCACCACCGACATATATAATACGCACGATGGATCATATAGCAGAAATATTACGTTATAATTATACGTGTTACAGTATTATTTCATATTTAGTGCATCACATGATAAATCGTTGAAATTCTATTGGATAACGTTGCAGGTACTATGAAACAATAGTGCCTGCCTGAGCGGGC